TAAACATCATTTTGTAAATAGAAGCTTTTTGATTTAGTATGATTCTCTGTATCACACAGATGATGAAATACCCTCCTTTCGTGGGCGGTCTGAGTAAAGATGTTGCACGTCAAATTTTACAGAGCCAATTGCCAGTATTCATTAAGGTAAGAGGCCATTGCCAGAATAACCCCGTGCTGCTTTCTCCCTGGTCTCGCTGTTTTTACCCCTGGAGGAACATATTTCACTGGAAATGCCATTGTGCTGGACATTGGGCTCCCTGAATTGGGGCAGAAATGGGCAGAGATGTGCTGCACTCCTGTTACCCATAGTGACTGAAAATACTCTCTAAATGTCCAGCCTAAATGCCCCTCTTGCTTAAAAGGAGGCCTGTGGGAAACCAGGAGTGATGCAGGTACCTGAACACAGGTCTCTTGGGATATTTTAGATACCCCAGGTAACGCAAGACATGCAGAGTCCCAGCAGGTATGACAGGAGACCAATGGGACACAACCTCCTGAAATGCAGCAGGATTTCTCTGCAGTTAGGAAGGTTCTTTCCACAGAAGGGAGAACAGTCTGCTTCACTGACTGCTGTTTATCAAGAGGTGTTGGATCCTTAGATCTTGCATCCCCCTTTTCCCTGAGATCACCTGAATCCATAGCTGTGTAACTCCAGTCCTGAGCTCCGAGCCACACTCTGACACAGCTGAGGATTTTCTCTGAAAGGTGATGTTTGGGGTTAGCCAGGGATGTGCAGATGCCACAGACTCACTGCTGTTAGTCCTTATACTGTTCATCATCATTCTAGAGTGCTTTTTATTGCTGTTTCAGGGTATTGCATCTGAAGTTGTTGACAGAGTGTACAAGGAGTACATGGGGAATGCAGAAAGCCCTGCTCAGGTCCGAGATGGCCTCCTGGATGCAATTGGAGATGTCTTCTTTGTCGTCTCATCTGTGGAAGTGGCCAGACACCACAGGGGTAACTCAGCAGCTTCTACAGAACAACTGTAGAATTCTGTCTGGGGGTGGTGTGGGCAGTGTGCAGCACTTTTCACTACCCAAAGAACTGGCAGTGTTTTCATTCAACCAAAACAGCTTCTAAGGAACCTTTATCATCCCTGGGACAGATATTTTCAGCTCTCAAACCAGCACTTCTCTGTATCCTCTAGATGCTGGCAACCCAGTCTACTTTTATGAATTCCAACATCGACCAAGTTCAGTGGAAGGTGTGGTACCCGAGTTTGTCAAAGCAGATCATGGAGCTGAGATTGCCTTTGTCCTTGGAAAGCCATTCTTAGCTGGTGATGTACCCATGCTTACTCCATATTCCTTTTAGAAGCTCTTTAGTACTCATTTTAATTACTGCAGGTCTTTAGAATAGAACTTCTCTCTTATAAGCATTAGAAGCATTATATATAAGCATAATTTATATATCATAAGCATTATTATGAGCATAAACATTTTCTCTCCTCACTAGTAGACACTTTTCATTCCATCATTCATCTGCAGTTCTCTCCTAGAAAACACTCCAGTAGCTCAGGGCAACAAGTAGAAGTGTTGCAATTGATAGAGCTCATTCCAATTATTTACTTTCTAATGTGGCCGTTTCATCTCTCCCATTTCAGGAGATGCTACAAAAGAAGAAAATAAACTGAGCAGAACTGTTATGAGATACTGGACCAACTTTGCTAAAAATGGGTGAGAACCACAATGCTAATTACAGCTCAGGTTTTGTCTGTGCTGCCCAGAACACACCTACCTGCCTGAAGCAGTACTTATATGGTGGTTCCTAGAAATTTGGCAGAATTGAAGATAAATGTTGAAGCAATTTCTCTTCTTCATGGTCTTGTAAAAGAACCTGCAGACATGAGAAAACAAAAAAAATCTAAGAGCTGTTACTCCAACTGCAGTGGTGTTTAGATCTAAAATTAATGACAACTATTATACTTTTGCTCTTCCACTGAGGAGCTTTTTCATCAAGTACTGTCCATGTATTCAGGTACCAGAATCACATAGTCTGAGCTCCTGCTGGTTTTCTGGAATGCTGTGAACCTGAGCACTCAGAGAGCAATGGATTGGCAAATGGAGAGCTAACTTTTCCTTCTGTTATTTCCAGAAATCCCAACGGAGAGGGCTTGGTCCATTGGCCCCAGTATGGCCTGGAGGAAAAATACCTGGGAATAGACCTGGAGCAAAAGGCAGCAGAGAAACTGAAAGAACACAGAGTGCAGTTTTGGGCACAACTCATGAAACAAAGTCAGACTGAAAGGAGAAAACACACAGATTTATAAGAGCTGTGGAGGGTTCAGTTTGCTTTTAAAAGCCAAAGGAAAGTCAAACAAAATGAGTTTGTCAGGATGCAGAGTAATAATCACCTTTTAACTCATTGTTGTCCTCTGCTGTCCTAATCTCAATGAAAGTAGAGAAACAAAGGCCATTTGGAATGTTTGTCAGACTAAAAATCACTATTTAATGAAGCAAGCAGAAACCCCACCGAGTCTTTCCGGGTCCAAACAGACCATGGTACCTCCTCAGTGCATATTAAAGCTGAATAATGAGCTGGGAATGGGCAAATGAACTGAAATCTGTAAGAAATTGTTGGAGTCTGAGACACAGAGTGTG